TGAAACTAGAAAAGGAAGAACAAAAGAGACCCAAAATCAGTAGAAGGAGACACATAAAAAAATGATGGCAGACATAAATATAATCAAGAAGAATAAAACAATAGAGACAATCAATGAAAGCAGGATCTGGTTCTTCAAGAAAATAAACAAAATAGATAAACCCTTAGACAGCGTTATCAAGAAAAAAGAGTCTACACACAGAAACAGAACAAGAAATGAGAATGGAAAAATCACTACAGACACCACAGAAATACAAAGAATTATTAGAGAATACTATGAAAATCTATATACTAACTAACTGGATAACCTAAGCGAAATGGACAACATTGTAGAAAAATACAACCTTCCAAGGCTGACACAGGAAGAAAAAGAACATCTAAATACACCAATTACAAGCAAGGAAATTGAATTGGTAATCAAAAAACTACCTAAGAACAAAACCCCTGAACCACAAGGTTTCACTGCTGAATTTTATCAAAAGTTTAGGAAAGATCTAATACCCATACTCCGCAGTTATCAAAAAAGTAAAAAAGGAGGGAATACTCCCAAACTCATTCTATGAGGCCAGCATCACTCTACTACCAAAACCAGGCAAAGATACCACAAAAAAAGAAAATTACAGACCAATATCCCTGATTGACATAGATGCAAAAATACTCAACAAAATATTAGCAAACCGAATTCAAAAATACACCAAAAAGATATCCAGAATGACCAAGAGGGATTCATTCATGGGATGCAAGGATGGTATAACATTTGAAAATTCATCAACAAAATCCACCACATTCACAAAAAGGACAAAAAACACATGATCATCTCCATAGATGCTGAAGAAGCATTTGACAAAATTCAACACCCATTCATGATAAAAACTCTCAACAAAATGGGTATAGAGGGCAAGAACCTCAACATAATAAAGGCCATATATGACAAACCCACAGTCAATATCATACTTAACAGCAAGAAGCTGAAAGCTTTTCCCTTAAGATGGAGAACAAGAGAAGGATGCCCACTCTCCTACTTTTATTCAACATACTTCTGGAGGTCCTAGCCATAGCAATCAGACAACACAAAGAAATAAAAGGCATCCAGACTGGCAAGGAAGAAGTCAAACACTGTCCCTGTTTACAGATGACATGATAATGTACATAAAAAACCCTAAAGACTCCACTCCAAAACTACTAGATCTAATATCTGAATTCAGTAACATTGTGGGATACAAAATTAATACACAGAAATCTGTTGCATTCCTATACACTAACGATGAACTAGCAGAAAGAGAAATCAGGAAAACAATTCCATTCACAATTGTATCAAGAGAATAAAATACCTAGGAATAAACCTAACCAAGGAAGTGAAAGAACTATACTCTGAAAACTACAAGACACTCTTTAGAGAAATTAAAGAAGATAGCAATAAATGGAAATGGATCCCATGCTCATGGATAGGAAGAACTAATATTGTCAAAATGGTCATACTGCCTTAAGCAATCGACAGATTGGACGCAATTCCTATCAAAATACCAACCGCATTCTTCAACAAACTAGAGAAAATAGTTCTGAAATTCATATGGAACCAAAAAAGACCCTGAATAGCCAAAGTAATCCTGAGAAGGAAGAATAAAGCTGAGGGGATTATGCTCCCCTACTTCAAGGTCTACTAAAAACCACAGTAATCAAAACAATCTGGTACTAGCACAAGAACAGACCCATAGACCAATGGAACAGAATAGAGAGCGCAGATATAAACCCAAGCATATGTGGTCAATTAATATACGATAAAGGGGCCATGGACATACAATGGGGAAATGACAGCCTCTTCAACAGCTGGTGTTGGCAAAACTGGACAGCTACATGTAAGAGAATGAAACTGGATTACTGTCTAACCCCATAAACAAAAATAAACTCAAAATGGATCAAAGACCTGAACGTAAGTCATGAAACCACAAACCTCACAGAAGAAAACATAGGGAAAAATCTCTTGAATATAAACATGAGCAACTTTTTCCTGATCACATCACCTCAGGAAGGGAAAAATAATAAAAAATGAACAAATGGGACTACATCATGCTAAAAAGCTTCTGTACAGCAAAGGACACCATCAGCAGAATAAAAGGGAATCCTACAGTATGGGAGAATATATTTGTAAATGACATATCCAACAAGGAGTTAACATCCAAAATATATAAAGGACTCACACACCTCAACACCCAAAGAGCAAATAACCCTATTAAAAAATGGGTGGAATATATGAACAGACACTTCTGCAAAGAAATTCAGATGGCCATTACACACATGAAAAGATGCTCCACATCACTAGTCATCAGAGAAATGCAAATTAACACCACAATGAGATATCACCTCACACCAGTTAAGATGGCCAATATCCAAAAGACAAACAAGAACAAATGTTGGCAAGGATGTGGAGAAAGAGGAACCCTCCTACACTGCTGGTGGGCATGTAAATAGTTCAACTATTGTGGAAAGCACCATGGAGGTTCCTCAAAAAAACTTAAAATAGAAATACCATTTGACCTAGGAATTCCACTCCTAGGAATTTACCCTAAGAATGCAGCAGCCTAGTTTGAAAAAGACATATGCACCCCTATGTTTATTGCAGCACTATTTACAATAGCCAAGAAATGGAAGCAACCTAAGTGTCCATCAGTAGATGAGTGGATAAAGAAGATGTGGTACATGTACACAATGGAATATTATTCAGCCATAAGAAGAAAACAAATCCTACCATTTGCAACAACATGGATGGAGATAGAGGGTATTGTGCTCAGTGAAATAAGCCAGGCGGAGAAAGACAAGTACCAAATCATTTCACTCATCTGTGAAGTATAAGAACAAAGCAAAAACTGAAGGAACAAAACAGCAACAGACTCACAGAACCCAAGAATGGACTACATTACCAAAAGAAAAGGTACTGGGAAGGATGGGTGGGAAGGGAGGGAGAAGGGGAATAAGGGGCATTACGGTTAGCACACATAATGTGGGGGGTGGGGCACGGGGAAGGCAGTATAACAGTGCTATAGACAAGTAGTGGCTCTATAGCATCTTACTATGCTGATGGACAGTGACTGTAATGGGGTATGTGGGGGGGACTTGATAATGGGGGGAATCTAGTAACCACAATGTTGCTCATGTAATTGTATATTAATGATACCAAAATTTTAAAAACAGAAATAAACTTTATATGTATGCACTGATCAAAGTTCTAACAAAACGGCATTATCATACACTTTGACTAGAAATGAATGCAATGTTTCTGAAAAGCATCTTAGCAATTTGTCACAAGTCACAAAAATATTTATTGCCTTCTACCCTACCCATTCATTCTATGAATCTACCCCATACAAAAAGGAGGCACAAAGATTTAAGCACAAAAACATTCATAAATATATTGCTACATTATCACAATGCTATCCAAAAATAGGGAACATGGTAAAGAAAATGATCAGACATTCACAGCATACAGAAAAAGGCATATCTTAAAAAATATCTTGGATAAATATTAACAACATTGAAAAATACATAAAATGTTATAAGCATAAGAGAAACATAAAACCACTTCATGTTATTCTATTTTGCTTCACTATATGCTGAACAAAGCCAAGGAATTAGCATATCTATTTCAACAGTGATTATCTCCCAAGCTACATTATAGACCCTCATCCACATGTTATCAAGGTCTATGACCTCAGTCAGAGGAGCCCCCATGGAAGAAGTGGAGTTTGAAGGGAGAAAAAAAAAAGGCTCCAAGAGAGGACTTGTCTCCTTACTATTTATGATTTCCTCAAATCAAAACTCTTTTAAAATTGAACTATGATCTTAAAAAAAAAAAGGAAAAATAGTACTTAGAAAGGATTAAAAGTACCTATTTTTTAATGTCAGCAGGGGGCACTCCAAGAATATGTTTTAGCTGTAGTGTTAGATTTTGTTGGTTTCTCTTTAGTGAGCATACCACAAACCTTCTCAAAGTTTTACATGCTCATAATTACCTAAAACTCCTATTTTATAATGCTAGATTTTACTCTGGAAGGGTAACATTAGAAGACGCCTAAGAATAATTATCCGAAAAAGCATTTTATGAACATCTGTTTGCCCCATATTTGCCAACAGGCAATAATTACTATCTCACCACTACCACATTCCACACAACCCCTTCACCTTCATGTTTTCATGTACTCCTCTTAACAATAATGTAACATAAGCAGAAGTGATAATACCAACTCAAGTTCCACACCCCAACATATACTAAGTACCCACAAAAAACTGTGCAAGGTATTTCATATTATCTCACTCAAAATTTAATTATTACCAAAAATCTACACTATTCCCAATTTACAGATGAGGAAGCTGAGGTTTGGCAGTTAAAGCAATGTATCCAAAGGGCAGATCTGTGATCCGCATTGGTCTGTCTGAATCTGAAGCCTATGCAATTTCATCATCTGGCCAAGTCTCATCGGCAACTGAAGCCCAGAGTCTCCTAACACTTTATCTAATGTGCTTTTCACCATGACATTTGCCTCCATAATGAGTACAAAACCTTCCATCAGGAGCTCACAGATGATGATCCCATTAGATTTCAAATAACGTCAGAAGGAAGCTTGCACTACATGTAGAAGGAAAAGCTGTAGTGGTGAGGGAAACTGCTTCAGAAACATAGCTAGATTAAAACACAGGGAATGAAGTATAAAGCATTTGATGAAAGAATACTCAAAAGAGTCACAGTTGATACAAGTTTCTAAATAGTTTATAAACAGATGTAGTTTATAAAATCCTAAAATTACATTTATAGTATTACAATAAGGACACTTTTGAAATCTTTTAAAATTACAATTGGGACATCTATAGAAATTGCCTGTGAGTCAGTCATCATTATTTCAGAGTATTTTCTGATAAGTACATATGACTATGTGCTTCTGATAAACATGTTTTAACTACCTAATAAAATGATACACAATGATTCATTAAAGTATGAATGTTACTTACATATCCCAGTTTGGAGCTATTCGTAAATGCTGGATTAACAACTGGAACTAGAATAAAAAATTAAGATGTACATTTTATTCATGAGACAACAGAGAATAGGGAGCACTAAATTAACAAATTAGACCTATACTGAACTGAAATGTGAATCCTGCACAAAGGATGTAATTATTCACAAAGATGCAAAAGCATCTTCTGAATAAGGTAAAAGTGAAAATTAAGACCAGGAACTTCCAGTTCTCCTATCCAGTTGTTTTCCCTGAATGTACCCTCATCATCCCACAAACACAAACCCAGTACCAAATAAGTAATGTTAATACTATTCCAGAGGCAAATGAAATTAAATTTTTTTAAGCCAGTTCCCAAGTGAGGACTCAAGATGGAAAATGCCCGAGACCTCCGTAACTCCTGATGATGATGTCAAAAGCTCTCTCAAATTCCCATGGTTTTACCAACAAACGAAGACAATACAAGAAAGATCATCAGGAGAAAAAGAAAAACAAATGTCTCAGAAACAAAAATCTCTCTTCAGTGTCACATCAGAAACCTTAGCATTCACCAGGTCGACCCCATAAAGGAGCCCCTACTCTCACAGGAGCAGCTCATCCTTGTAGCTGATGAAGAAGTCCTGCCCTATGATTTCAGAGATGAAAAATATCTTATAATTATCACAAGTTAACATAAAATGCAAACCAGAGTATTACAAAAGAAGGTCAAAATCACTGTGTGTTCAACTGCTTTTGGACCTAAGGATTAAAAAGAGGATAATTTTGGCAAACCTATTATCTTGATAAATCATTTTTTTCCCATTGTAATCATATCAGTATTTTAGCACTTGTTTTAATCTCTACAGAAATAAAAGAGTTATGTGCAGAAGGCATGCTACAAGGACCATGAAAAGAGTCTACTTTACAGCTTAGCTACCTACCAGGGGGGAATGGATGAGCCTGGTGGCCACGTCCCTGTGAGCAGTGACCGTGCACAAATAGCACAAGAGATTCAGCTTAGCCCGGGAGGCCCCCATGCTCCTCTCAGTGGAGTCGATCTGTGAGCACACTTGCAGCAAAAAGTCATTCCAATCTTGGTCTTTTATAAATACTAATTTATCCACTGAGGAGGAAAGACAATATTAGAAGTGGGTGTCATGTGAGAAAGAATTGCTGAAAACATTACAAGAGAATATTGAATACAGAATTCAACAGCTAAGATGGGGACAATGAAAATACTAACTTAACACTGTCAAAACCAAAACTCCTCCAAAGATGACACTACTTTCATTCACTCTTCTGTACTCATTTCTTTTCCGACCCAGAGACTTTTTAACTATGTCAATGGAAAATTATGCTAAAAAAAGGAGGCAGATGCTTAACAAATTATTCTGTGACTGATAATATAACAAAATGCTAAGTTAAATAAAATTATGTTATGAAAAATCAAGATAGCCTTTGATTTTTTTTTCCCAAAGTACTGGAAAAGCCAAAATTTTACAGTTGTTCAAGAAGTTCCAATGATATTACCGTTCAATAAAACCAGGTTAATATGATGGCTGAAATCAATTAGAAGTGCCACCTCCAAATCCCTATAGAAACAAAGGACAAAAACTGGAAAATGAGATGCCTTCTAAAATTAACATAGCCTCAGCTAATCTCCATCTTTAAACAAAATAAGGTATAATAATAATTTCCTAAAATAACCTCAAAGTAAAGGTGAAAAGGGAACAAATATTACTTTGAGGTAATAATCTTCAAGGTTTGCATAAATAGTGGTTCTACTTGACAGTTCATTTCATTTTGAACATATTTTACGTTGAATTTATTTTGATTTTATTTCAAATAACAGATTCTACTCTCCCTGTGATAAATAATTTTTTCTAGATCTAGCTTAACTTAAAATATAACTTAACAAACAAAATACATCAAAACTTAAGGTATTAAAAATTTTTGAAGTCCACCCTAGGAGAAAGAAAACATAAAAATATTTTAAGTTTCTCCATTCACACACCATCCCCAAAAAGTGAACCGTCTGACCCCTTCTCAGCTGCCCTGCTCCCTCACACAGAATCTTGATTCTTCATTGTGGCCTCCAGCCCTCTACACCCACAAGCACTGGGAATATTGGAAACTCAACTGGCTCTACAAGGGGAAGGGCAGGAGAATGAACCACTCATTTCACAGGAAAACTCACCAAGCTTTATAGGAACTTTCCCACCCACAAGAGTATAGGGGAAGCTCAGAGTCAGCTGAGAAAGGTCAAAGGCTGACACAAATGGATTACAGGTTGTTTATAATTTACAGAACACTGCCCCAAGACAATAGTCAGTTGGGGAAACAAAATAAAAATTTAGCTATTTATAAATAATATATTCCATTTATTATTAAGTTTCATATTTGTATCTGTCTGCCAAGAGTAATATTTGTTTGATAAGCCCTTTTGGGTCCTACCTGAATGTGCTGGTAGATGCAATATTCTTGGATCAAATTTAGTTGGAGGTTGTTTTATTATCTGTAGTTAGAAAAACAAATGTAAAAAAATACCTTTGATTCTCCTTTTAAGATAGCTATCTCAATATATCCCTATATCAGATTTATAATCAATGAGGACAGAAAAGAATGCTGTAAAATTTTTTATCAAAAAGAGTAAGAATTCAACAGAGCCCTTTCAGATTAAAATATACAAATATAAACTATAATTTGTAAAACTAAATATCTGAATTGCTTTCTGCAATAAAATAAATCTTCATGGGAAAGAGTCACCCTGTCTTGGGTTACTCTCAAGCTAATTTACCTCTAGGTTAAAAACCTGGTCATTCAACATGTATTTACCAAATGCCTGCCAGGTGAGGCACTATGTTTAAGTGCTAAGGGGGGCAGGAAGATACAAAAGACATGATCCTACTGTCAAGGAGCTGATAGTCTGGGAAGATAAAACAAACATTTGTTAAACAATTCTTTTAATTTAATTAACAGCGCAAAACAGGCAGGATGTAATTACAAACAAAACATTTCACAGAAATTTTTCTAAAAAATGAGAGAATGCAACAACTGTAGGTTTATGTGGTCAGGACAGGGTTCCTGAAGAACAGTCAGGACATGGTGGTTGACTTAGAGAACGCACCATTCCAGGAAGCCTCTAAACAGCATGAGTAGGAAAGTACGTGATTTTTTTTGAACAAAGTAAACATGTAGTTGGATCCATGAGTTTGGAACATCTTGAGTTTTTTATTAAACAATTCAACCATCATTTCTAAGTCTAACTTCTCCAAAACCTCTCTACAGAGCATTTTTTTAAAGTCTTTGCTGGTAATGTTCTTGCCAAAGATGCATAACCTAATCCTGACCACGAGAAACCTTAGACAAATGCAAATTGAGGGACATCCTACAAAAGACCTGGCCAGTACTCTTTAAAGTGTCAGCATCACAGAAGAGAAGGAGAGACTGGGAAATTACCAAACAGCCATGAAAAACAAGGACAGATGGTAGGAGAGTAAGTAGGCATAACAACAAACATGGGATCCTGTAACAGAAAAAGGACATCAGTGGCAGAACTGGTAAAATTCACAAGCATTTGGCAGTTTAGTTAATAGCACCACACCACAGGGAAATCACCGTTAATTCCCTGGTGTCACTAACCAAACTACAGTCCTGTAAATGTGAACATTAGAAGAAGCGGTGTAAAATGTATAAAGGAACTCTACAATTTTTAACCTTTTCTGTAAGTCTAAAAATAGTCCAAAATTAAATGTTAAAAATAATTTCTACTAAGGCTTCCAAAAAGTAATTAAGTGAGGTTATAAGAAGAAATAAGGAAATAGAGAGAGAATATGATCAAAGGGTATGGCAAATTGTTGTAGAAGGTCCACTGAGAAAATACCCCATTATGTGTTAAATTTGGCATAACACAGTTACTGTGCCACACATCTTAAATCATAAATTAGCTCCATTATAAGGAATAGTTGGGTAATCTATATTAAATGTTCTCTACCTAGTAAATAAATATGCACCCAAAATCCCATTTGTTCTGAACTATAGTAATATTCCCTAATAAGATGAAAAGAAGCCATCTTAAATTTTAAAAAGACATTAAAAAAGAAGAAAATTGAAATGGATCAAAGACCTGAATTAAAGTCATGAAACCATAAAACTCTTAGAAGAAAACATACGCAAAAATCTCTTGAATATAAACATGAGCAACTTTTTCATGAACCTATCTCCCAAGGCAAGGGAAACAAAAGTGAAAATGAGCAAGTGGGACTATATCAAACTAAAAACCTTCTGTACAGCAAAGGACACCATCAGCAGAACAAAAAGGCATCTGACAGTATGGGAGAATATATTCATAAATGACATATCCAACAAGGGGTTGACATCCAAAATATATAAAGAAATCACGTGCCTCAACAAACAAAAAGCAAATAATCCAATTAAAAAATGGGTGGAATATATGAACAGACACTTCTGCAAAGAAATTCAGATGGCCATTACACACATGAAAAGATGCTCCACATCACTAGTCATCAGAGAAATGCAAATTAACACCACAATGAGATATCACCTCACACCAGTTAAGATGGCCAATATCCAAAAGACAAACAAGAACAAATGTTGGCAAGGATGTGGAGAAAGAGGAACCCTCCTACACTGCTGGTGGGCATGTAAATAGTTCAACTATTGTGGAAAGCACCATGGAGGTTCCTCAAAAAAACTTAAAATAGAAATACCATTTGACCTAGGAATTCCACTCCTAGGAATTTACCCTAAGAATGCAGCAGCCTAGTTTGAAAAAGACATATGCACCCCTATGTTTATTGCAGCACTATTTACAATAGCCAAGAAATGGAAGCAACCTAAGTGTCCATCAGTAGATGAGTGGATAAAAAAGATGTGGTACATGTACACAATGGAATATTATTCAGCCATAAGAAGAAAACAAATCCTACCATTTGCAACAACATGGATGGAGATAGAGGGTATTGTGCTCAGTGAAATAAGCCAGGCGGAGAAAGACAAGTACCAAATCATTTCACTCATCTGTGAAGTATAAGAACAAAGCAAAAACTGAAGGAACAAAACAGCAACAGACTCACAGAACCCAAGAATGGACTACGTTACCAAAAGGAAAGGTACTGGGAAGGATGGGTGGGAAGGGAGAGAGAAGGGGAATAAGGGGCATTATGATTAGTACACATAATGTGGGGGGTGGGGCACGAGGAAGGCAGTATAGCACAGAGAAGAAAGTAGTGACTCTACAGCATCTTACTATGGTGATGCACAGTGACTGTAATGGGGTATGTGGGGGGGACTTGATAATGGGGGGAATCTAGTAACCACAATATTGCTCATGTAATTATATATTAATGATACCAAAATAAAAAATAAAAAAAAGAAGAAAATTAAAATATAGCATAGGGGTAGAATGTGTCAGAGGCTAGAAATCAACAGAAAACAAAGGGACAATAAACTAATTTTATTTGTAAGGGGAGTACTGCTCATCCCCTGGTAATACAGAATTACTTTCCAGAAGACTGGAAGCAACCAAAGTTACACAGGTTTAGAAGTACCCTGTGAACCATGACTCCCCATGCTCCCCTTGTCTCCCCACCACCTGCCCTACAGTCCTGACAGCCTATGAGAGGGGCTGATCTCTGTGTGATCTACCCACTCCCCCAGCCTGGTGAGCAGCTCCCTGCCATCTGCCTTTGTAACACATTAAGCAACTAGAAGATCTGGAGTAATTCAACCAAGTATTTGTGGAGAAATTAAGGGACTGGGGTCTGAGGGTTGAGGGCTGAAGTCAGCAAGTACTCCTTAGCCCATGGGAAGAAAAATCAGCACTCTGATGAAATGGACAGCAATGCAGGAAGAGGAGAGGGTGATGGATAGAGCGGAAGTTAGAAATGCAGACATGAGGCAGGAGTGAAATAAGGCAATCAACAGAGGAACAGGAAAGAAAATGAGGTGAAGAATATTTGGAATGAAAATATCATCCAGGTTTCAGCTATCAGTGAAGTCTACACCACAGCCCTCAGTCATTAAGGCATCTTCCTCACCTTTGGGTTGTCAATAATCGGAGTGACAAGGAGATCAGAGTCTGTGTAAATAAGCTCTCTCATCTGGGATTCCAGGGCCTGCTGACGCAGGTGCCCACTTGTAACCTGAACCAAGAACAAAAATTAGACTTTGTTCCTGTAATTAATGAAGAGCTTTTAAAAATTAGATGCTGATTACAATTAGCACACATAATATAACAGGGAGGCAGGGGAGAATGGGAAAGGGAGAATATAGAGAGAATACAAATAATGATTCTATAGCATCTTACTACGCTGATGGACAGTGACTGTAATGGGGCATGTGGGGGGGGCAATTGATAATAGCGGGAGTCTAGTAAGCATAACGTTGTTGTATATTAACAACATCAAAATAAAAAAATATTTAAGTAAATAAATAAATAATTAGATGCTGAGTAAGACATCACTGAAAAAGGTCCTTTATCAATGTACATTAACTGCTACTCCAAACACTTTTATAGACAGGATTTTTGTGAAGATCAAATGAAAATAAGGCATATTCCAATTTTTGCAGGTAAAAAACACAAAGCTCAGAGAAAGTGACTTGCTCATGTTTACCATAAAGGCTGGTTAGGATGAGAAAACAGATCTCCAATAGTTGGATGTTCTAAACTATGATGAGGCAAACTGGATTTTCAATTATCAGCACAGTTTTTATGTTTCATCCACCAAACACTAATTAATTTTTTCTACCTTAGAGAATAATCAATATGAGCTTAAAATTATAGCATAAAAAAATTTCAGGGTTAAGTACTCTTACCTTAGTGTTAAAAACCTATATTTTTATAAAACCTTGTTAAAGTGGAGCTGATACTAAATGAAAATAAATAACTAGATGTTTGTCATCAGTTATTCCTTTGAGATGTTCTTTGTGCTTTACTTAAACAGAACTTTTATTCCGAGTGCTATGCCTCAGTATTTCACAACAAACAAAAAAGAGGATTTATGCATGAAGAATTTACATTGAAACATTGACCAGAAAACTGAATAAAAGAGGAAACCAAACCAGCGAAGCAAAACATGAGGAAAAGAGATTATCCAAAACTGAGGTGGGGCATGGAAAAAGACACAACTAATAAAGTTCCTGGAAACCAAGACAGTCCCTTTGCAACATAGTAGATAGACATAAAAAGCACATAAAGGATAAGTAAGGAGGAATTCTTTAAAAACATTTTTCTAAAACATTTAAGAACTGCACTTCCAAGACAGCAAAAGACTTAAAAGAAAATCCAAAATGAGCTAAAGGAAAAATTGTTAAAATAATATAAGAATTAGTAAGGCAGACCAATTAGAAAATGTAGTATACATAAGCTTTCTATATGTAAAGTGAATGTATGCACAAATAACAGGTCATAAAAATGTTATTATCTCATTCACAATAGCAAAAAACAAAATTAAATGCCCAGAAACAAAGTAATGAAACATTGCAATGAGAGCTCATTAACTAAATAAAAATATTAAGTCATAAAATTGTATTCCCTTGTTTAAAAATGAACATACATGTTTAGAACCAGAAGAAGGGATATGAAAATGTAATCAATGTAACAACTCTAGTTATTTAATTCTAAGTCATTTTTTGTTTTCCTTATTCTGTTGTACATTTTCCAAGTAATCTACATTATATACCTTTGTATTGAATTTAAAACTATCATTTTAAAAGTTATAAAACAGAGGAGTAGGGGCCAAGATGGTGGCATGAGTAGGGCAGCAGAAATCTCCTCCTAAAACCATATATATTTTTGAAAATGCAACAAATACAACTATTCCTAAAAGACAGACCAGAAGATACAGTACAACAGCCCGGCTACATCTACATCTGCAAGAACTCAGCATCTCATGAAGGGGGTAAGATACAAGTCACGGCCCAGCCAGACCCGAGCGTCCCCACCACCCCAGCTCCCCAGCATGAGGAGAGGAGTCGGAGCAGGGATGGAGTGGAAGCCCAGGACTGCTAAATACCCAGCCCTAGTCATCCACACCGGGAGGGCAGACAGACATCGTGTGGTGTGCTGGATATCTGGGAAATGGAACAGTAAAACCTGTGAGCGGGTCCCCGCAGCTGGCGCCCCAGGGACAAAAGAAAAGTGAGTGTTTTTTGAAAGTCTTAAAGGGACAGGGACCTCAAAGCTGGACAGTAGCATCCCAGCACACTCAGCCCAGCAGCTGGGAATCCCAAGGAAATTCTGGTGCTCCAGCCCCCTGGGAGGCAGTGCAGCTCTGAAGCCCCTCATGGTGATAAACAGCCTCCCATCCATTCCCCCTCCAGAGCAGCCCCGCCATAGCAGGGAAGCGGCCTGAGAGCAGCCATGCCCACAGCAGCTACCCACAGCTTCCTCCACAGCCGTGCAGACCAGACTCAGAGGCCCTGCCAGCACACAGCACCCCAGCACAGACAGAAGCCAGGACAGGGCGCCAAGCATTGCCATTCTTGCAGGAGAGCACTCAACAGCTGACCCACCCGTGACAGCTCAGTTAAAACTAGAAACTGCTCTGAGGAGAGCAAGGTGACCAGCAAGCAGAAAGGGACTTTGTTCTCCCAGCTAACACACCCGCTAACTGCCCACAACCACCTCTATAGCCATGAAAAGGCAGGAGAATTTGATCCAGTCCAGAATTACCCACACAACCCCTGAGAAGGAGCCTGGAGAGATAGATTTAACCAATCTTCCTGAAAAAGAATTCAAAATAAAGGTCATAACCATGCTGATGGACCTGCAGAGAAATATGCAAGAGCTAAAGGATCATATTAGGAGGGAGAATACAGAAACAAAACAATCTCTGGAGGGACTTAAGAGCAGACAAGATGAGGTGCAAGAGGCCATTAATGGAATACAAATGAGAGAACAGGAACACAGAGAAGCTGAGGCACAGAGAGATAAAAGGATCTCCAGGAATGAAAGAATACTAAAAGAACTGTGTGAACAATCCAAATGGAACAATATTTGCATTATAGGGTACCAGAAGAAAAAGAGAGAGAGAAAGGGATAGAAAGTGTCTTTGAAGAAATAATTGCTGAAAACTTCCCAAAAAGTCGCTCAGACCATGGAAGCCCACAGAACTCCCAACACAAGGGACCCAAGAGGACAACACCAAGACATATAATAATTAAAATGGGAAAGATCAAGGACAAGGACAGAATATTAAAGGCAACCAGAGAGAGAAAAAAGGTCACCTACAAAGGAAAACCCATCAGGCTATCATCAGACTTCTCAACAGAAACCTTAAAGGCCATAAGAGAACGCCATGATATATTTAATGCAATGACACAGAAGGGCCTTGAACCAAGAATACTGTATCCAACACGATTATCATTTAAATTTGAAGGAGAGATTAAACAATTCCCAGACAAGCAAAAGTTGAGGGAATTTGCCTCCCACAAACCACCTCTACAGGATATTTTAAAGGGACTGCTCTAGATGGAAGCACTCCTAAGGCAAAATAGATGTCACCAGAGAAAATAAAAACACAGCAAAGAAAACAGACCAACCAAATACTAACTAAAGGCAAAAAATAAAATAAACTACACACAAAAGCAGTCAAAGGAAACACAAAAGAGCACAGAATAAAACACCTAACATACAAAGAATGAAGGAGGAAGAATAAGAAGGGAGAGAAATAAAGAAGCATCAGACAGTGTTTGTAATAGCTTAATAAGTGAGTTAAGTTAGATAGTAAAGAAGATACCCTTGAACCTTTGATAACCACGAATATAAAGCTTGCAATGGCAGTAAGTACATATCTTTCAATAATCACCCTAAATGTAAATGGACTGAATGTACCAATCAAAAGACACAGAGTAATAGAATGGATAAAAAAGCAAGACCCGTCTATATGCTACTTACAAGAGACTCACCTTAAACCCAAAGAAATGCACAGACTAAAAGTCAAGTGATGGAAAAAGATATTTCGTGCAAACAATAGGGAGAAAAAAGCAGGTGTTGCAGTACTAGTATCAGACAAAATAGACTTCAAAACAAAGAAAGTAACAAGAGATAAAGAAGGACATTACATAATGATAAAGGGGTCAGTCCAACAAGAGGATATAACCATTATAAATATATATGCACCCAACACAGGAGCACCTGCATATGTGAAACAAATACTAACAGAATTAAAGGAGGAAACAGAATGCAATGCATTCATTTTAGGAGACTTCAACACACCACTCACTCCAAAGGATAGATCCAGCATACAGAAAATAAGTAAGGACACAGAGGCACTGAACAACGCACTAGAACAGATGGACTTAATAGACATCCACAGAACTCTACACACAAACGCAGCAGGATACACATTCTTCTGAAGTACACATGGAACATTTTCCAGAAGAGAACACACACTAGGCCACAAAAAGAGCCTCAGTAAATTCAAAAAGATTGAAATTCTACCAACCAACTTCTCAGACCACAAAGGTATAAAACTAGAAATAAATTGTACAAAGAAAACAAAAAGGCTCACAAACACATGGAGGCTTAACAACATACTCCTAAATGATCGATGGATCAATGACCAAATTAAAATAGAGATCAAGCAATATATGGACACAAATGACAACAACAGTACAAAGCCCCAACTTCTGTGGGACGCAGCGAAAGTAGTTCTAAGAGGAAAGTATATAGCAATCCATGCCTATCTAAAGAACAATCCCAAATGAATAGTCTAAAGTCACAATTATTGAAATTGGAAAAAGAAGAACAAATGAGGCCCACAGTCAGCAGAAGGAGGGACATAATAAAGATCAGAGAATAAATAAATAAAATTGAGAAGAATAAAACAATAGAAAAAAATCAATGAAACCAAGAGCTGGTTCTTCAAGAAAATAAACAAAATAGATAAACCCCTAGCCAGACTTATTAAGAGAAAAAGAGAATCTACACACATCAACAGAATCAGAAACGAGAAAGGAAAATCATGACGGACCTCACAGAAATACAAAGAATCATTAGAAAATACTATGAAAATCTATATGCTAACAAACTGGAAAACCTAGAAGAAATGGACAACTTCCTAGAAAAATACAACTTTCCAAGACTGACCAAGGAAGAAACACAAAATCTAAACAGACCAGCAATGAAATTGAAGCGGTAATCAAAAAAACTACCCAAGAGCAAAACCCCCAGGCCAGATTGATTTACCATGGAATTTTATCAGACATACAGAGAAGACATAATTCCCATTCTCCTTAAAGTTTTCCAAAAACATAGAAGAAGAGGGACTACTTCCCGACTCATTCTATGAAGCCAGCATCACCCTAATACCAAAACCAAGCAAAGACACCACAAAAAAGGAAATTACAGACCAATATCCCTAATGAACATAGATGCAAAAATACTCAACAAACTATTAGCAAACCAAATTCAAACATACATCAAGAGGATCATACACCATGACTAAGTGGGATTCATCTCAGGGATGCAAGGATGGTACAACATTCGAAAATCCATCAACATCATCCACCACATAAACAAAAAGAAGGACAAAAACCACATGATCATCTCCATAGATGCTGAAAAAGCATTTGACAAAATTCGACATCCATTCATGATAAGAACTCTCAACAAAATGGGTATAGAGGGCAAGTACCTCAACATAATAAAGGCCATATATGACAAACCCACAGCCAAAATCATACTTAACAGCGAGAAGCTGAAAGGTTTTTACCTAAGATCAGAAACAAAACAGGGATGCCCAATCTCCCCATTTTTATTCAACATAGTACTGGAGGTCCTAGCCATGGCAATCAGACAAAACAAAGAAATACAAGGAATCCAGATTGGTAAAGAAGAAGTCAAACTGTCACTATTTGCAGATGACATGATATTGTACATAAAAAAGTCCTAAAGACTCCACTCCAAAGCTACTAGAACTAATATCTGAATTCAGCAAAGCTGCAGGATACAAAATTAATACACAGAAATCTGTTGCTTTCCTATACAGTAACGATGAACTAGCAGAAAGAGAAATCAGGAAAACAATTCCATTCACGGCATCAAAAAGAATAAAATGCCTAGGAATAAACCTAACCAAGAAGTGAAAGACCTATACCCTGAAAACTACCAGACACTCTTAAGAGAAATTAAAGAGAACACTAACAAATGGAATCTCATCCCATGCTCTTGGCTAGGAAGAATTAATATTGTCAAAATGGCCATCCTGCCTAAAGCAATCTACAGATTCAATGCAATCCCTATCAAAATACCAACAGCATTCTTCAACGAACTGGTATAGTTCTAAAATTCATATGGAACCACCAAAGACCCCGAATAGCCAAATCAATCCTGAGAAGGAAGAATAAAGTGGGGGGGATCTCACTCCCCAACTTCAAGCTCTACTACAAAGCCACAGTAATCAAGACAATTTGGTAATGGCACCAAAAGGTGGAAACAACTCAAATGTCCATCAACTGAATGGAAAAATAAAACATGGTACCATAGAATATTATTTGGCAATAGAAAGGAATATAGTACTGATACATGCTGCAATTTGGATGAATCTTAGAAATATTAAGCAAAAAAGGCCAGTCACAAAGGATTGCATATTGTGTTATTTCATTTATATGAAATGTTGAGAACAGGCAAATTTATAAAGGCAGAAAATAGATTAGTGGTTCTCTAGGGCAAGAGGGGATAGAAATTAGGAAAAGAGGAGTGACTGCTAATGCATACAAGACTTCTTCATAGGATGATGAAGCATTTTAAAATTGTGGGGCTGGCTGCATAACTCTGAAGATGCTAAAAGCCCCTGAACTGTACCTTTTAAATTGGTGAATTACATGGTGTATCAACTATATCTCAATAAAGTTGTTACCAAAAAAAAAAAAAAACTATGAAGCAGCTCTCTTATGAGTGAGTGCTTACTAGAAAAACCAGTGATAATAGAGAAAGATGACAATTGCAAGTTTTGTAATTACAAACATATTTTTTGCAAGATCAACTTGCACTTATTCTTCTGAGTCTCTGAAAAAGGCTGTTAAAAAAAATGCCATCTCTGGTCACCTTGGTCAAAGGAGAAGTCTTCTGTGGTAAATTCTGAGTCATATCCTCACCAGGACTTAACCCCACTGCAGTGCTAGTTCTTGGAGTAGGACGAGAACTGAAAAATACACACCAATTAACACTATTCAGAGTTCAGAAACTTTATCCTATTTACTGTTTTCTGGGGAAAAACACATCTCATGGAAAATGAAGTATATGATGATTCTATGTGATTCCATTATATAAAAAGTTAAAATTTTGTGTTTATATGACACTTACTTCTATAGATGTTTTTAAAGTAATTTCCTAGGTAATTTATTTTTAAGTATGGATTCTATGGTTTTACTAATGCTCTTATTTTATAATGCTTTCATTTACAGTATTTCATTTTACCTATAAACCTTAAAATATTGATTTTATTATTTTTTAAATGTCTGCTAGTGCAGATAGGATTAACAATAAACTATACAGTTTTCAAAGGATAGAAAATATTTAAAATTTATTTTAGAAAATGTTGAAAATGGGAAATTACCTTGAGTCTATTTAAGATAAGTAACAAGTAAATTCCAATCTGCATCTCTTTCTAACAATTCCTCCTGCACTAACACACAGCGGCCATTTTCTGTGGGTCACTCCATTCCTCCTGGGTCTGACTTTGAGTTTTTAATATTTTAAGAAATTCTTCCACTGAGATCACTAGGGTCTTATTTAATGAAGTCCTTTAAATTCCCAAATATCAGATTCTCACTTCCACATAGTCATTCATTAAACAAGTAGTAACTTGATTCATAAAATATGCTGAAATTATATGTTTTTTTAAATGAATTTAAAATGCCCAAGATGTATACAGATAATATTTAACGTATTTTATATTTAAATATGGGTAAAACAAATCAGGAAATTTTAGTTGGTCGTTATAACCCCTATGTCATTAAATGAAACTGTGTCTCTATGAGCCTAAAACTATAGCTGAAGTACTTATTATTTACAAACTACATTTTTTAATACATTGGCCTCAATCACATTAAAGTGCCATTCTGATCTTTTTATTTCAATCAATAAGCATTGTTTAAGCCTCCAAAAAAAAAATTGAAAGAAAAACCCAATAATCTGTTCTTTTCTATAAGTCTTTTTATCCGGTAAGAAACCAGACTTCTGACATGTTAAATTTAATTCTATTTGAAGTGGAAATACAAAATGAAGATGTTTTAACCTTTATAAAGAAGAAAGAGAAGGTAGTTTGCTTAAATTTTTAAAAAAAATACATAGTAAAATATATATTCCATTGGCTAGCACTTCACATAACTCTGACAGCAGAGAGTGAAACCGGAATTAGGTGTTCATATCCCTGTCCTTCATCTCTACGTAACATGGCTTGTCACCAGGAGACCAGAAGCTTTAAGAACTTTCATCTCCCCTGGGTTCCTCACTTTTCAGTCATTCTACATACCTCAGAAGAAACAGGGACTCATTCAACTGACCCCCAACAGTACTCTTAGGCCGCAACTCAGTTGGATTTTCTGTGGCAGGAAAGGAAAACACATCCATAAAGGAACAAAAATATGATAAGCAGGGCATGATATTCTCTTTAAAGAGAAAGACAGCACAAAGTCTCAGAAATAGCACCTAAGCAACAGGACTGTGCTCAAATGGAAGCTCACCAGGCCTGAAAGAGTGACTGAGTCGCTGGCCACTCTTCTCCCCTTTTGTTTGTCTGCTTGGAGGGCTGTGCAAGATCTCCTTGGAATCTTGTGTTCCAGAACACTCCGGCACATTTCTGCTGCTCAACAGGAACAAGCCAACACAATCAAACTTACTTTTGAACCCACTAGAGTTTTCTGGGTAGAACAAAAGGTTAGAAGAGATTATATTATACACAACATTTGGCAAAGCCCTGGAGTCAGAAAATATTTTTCACTAAGCAACTAGCATGAGCACTTAATACATATGCAAGGCTTTGCAGTAAGACGTCTATAAACTATATATCTGAAAAAGAAATACCAGCAGGCAGAGCGGGGAAGTAAATCAGAACTCAAAGCACCAGTGAACCAGCAGCGAGTTTCCCACTTATCTTTCCCCTTCCAGTATTGCTTGGCCTGGACTCAAAAGCACAAGTACAGAGAGGAGCCCCAAGAAAAGCCCTCCATTTCTGTTCCCAAGAAAGAAAAGGAGAACCCCTAAGAGTCAGAGCAGGAGATACCCCAGTTTGGTGCTCTTTTTTTTTTCTTTTTCTGTTTTGTCCTGCCTTAACCTCCAAGTGATCCCACAGCAGCTGGTTGGGGATGGCAGAAGCTTCTGGACAGTGTCTCAAATTCCAAGGGACAGGCATCTTCTTTTTTACCCAGACATATATGATCCCAAAACTTGAGGCAAATCCCTGTTGCTCTGCTCTTTTGTTCCCTTTCTTGTGGTTCTCCTACCACCCAACCCCAAACACATCCAGCAGTACATAGAAACTATAATATACCATGACTGAGTAAGGTTTACGGTGGGAATGCAAGGCTGATTCAACATTTGTAAACTAATTTATGTAAGAGTCTATAATGAGAGTCTAAAGAACTATATGATCATACCAACTAGTACAAAAAGGCATTAGACAAAATTCAACATTCATTCAAACTGAAAAAGGGCAGCTACAAAAACCTCCAGCTAATCACACTTAATGGGGAAAGGCTGAATGCTTTCATCATAAAATCAAAAACTAGGCAAGCATGTTCACTTTCATTACTTCTGATTCAGTACCTTACTGAAAAAGTCCTAGCAAGGGCAATAAGACAAAGAAAGGAAATAAAAGGCATACAGATGAAAAAGAAGGATTACAAACTAAAGTCAGAAGTGTTCTGTGACTTGCTGACCTGACGAGCCAGGACCAGGCCCAGTTTTCCGTAGCTCCCACAGACCTAAAAGAACAGTGAGAACATAGCTGAAGCTCACCAAATCACAGAAACCAAAGTTTGGAGAGACCTTAAATAGAACTCAGACTCCTCGATCCAATATCCAGAATTTGCCAAGATTAAAATTAAGTATCAGACAACCATTTACCAATGACATAGCTGAGGGGAGAAAAAAATAATCAATTATCAGGACTTTACCTCTATTCAACTACTTCTCATCTTGTTCTTTTCAATATACCATCACTGTTTTAAGTGTTCTGGGCTAAGAAGATTTCATAATAAAAAGGAAGTATATTAGTCAGGATGAGCTAGGCTATGCTGTGGTAACATACAACCCACAAATCCTAGTGGCTTAGGATCTTAAGACTATGTATCTCTCATGCACATAGCCAATGAAGGCTGCCAGGAAAGCTATGCTCATCATAGTCACTAAAGACCCAACAACTCCATTTGGAAATTTTCTCCCCAATTCCTTCATCAGGAGGAAGAAACACAGCAAATCACATACTGGATCTTAAAGTTTCTATACCCAGAAATAACACAGTTCTGCTCACATTTTATCAATCAAAGCAAGTCATGTAACCACAACCACACCTAACATAAAAGGGGGAAATGAGATCCTACCATGTGCTTGTGAGGTGGAAAGCCAGTTATATTTGGTGAACAAAACTAATGACTACAATACTCAGTCACTGACTGGAGAATAAACTGATCAGAAAATGAGCAAAATCAAGAATACACAATGTCATCACTAAACTCTTTAAGCAACCTTAATTAAACAAATGCTTGATTTTCTCCTATTATGAAAGCACAGAAATTCACTGATGCTGCATTATTAGAATAGTAATGGGTATAAGTGTTTAATAACAATGCCCCACGAACAAAAATAAGCTTATGCTACCTGACATTGGAATCCTTGGCGCTTGAGTTCTGATCTTTTCTAGTGAAAGCATCCTTCCAAAATGAATGTTGCAGTAGGTCTTCCCAAGTTAATCTTGATAAAACATAAATGTTAAAATTCAATTTTAATGTGATTTACCATGCAGAATTCCTGGACATGTCCCAATAACACATATCAGATTTTACAATATAAATTCCTCTACATAAACGTACTTCTGCAATTGCTTAATACTTTACAATTTCAAGATGCTAAAGTCAATGTATCAAATTTAAATCTATAATTCTGTGGCTCTTTATGTCCCAAGAGAGACTACTACCTCCTGTTTCACGTTATTTCATGTTCAGAACTGTACTTGTAGAATTTCATTCAGAAATAGACAAGAGTATCAACCTCATGACTATACACAGTCACACCTCTGCTTAGGAGTCAAGATGCTTTCTAGCTAGTTCACCTACATTAAAATGATCCTAGGCTGCATCTAAAGCCAGACTCACTCTCAAAGCATAAGTCCTACTACTAACAGAATATACCTCTGGGTATGCCCATCAGACTTAGCATGGCTGAGCCTGGCTGAGATTCAAAACTAAAAAGAAACTTTTTATTTGATCAGTTTAGTTATTCAAAATTTCTGTACTGAAATCAAAGCACTTTGATCAAAATTAAAACACGAATGATAAAGAGAATTTGAAATTGCATATATTATCCATTTTATACAAAGGGTTCTTGAAATGCACTAGTGGAGAAATAAAAATTGCTGATGAAATGGAATTTCTTCTTCATCTATCAGATTGGCAACAATGTGTAAGATCAACAAAGCCATCATAGGTAATAACAGTGAGAGGGAAGAAGCTTTCTAATGTTGCTGGAAGTATAAAGCAGCACATGTTCCTAGAATACCGCAAATGTATCAAACTTTTTAATGTCTTTATCCTTTGGCCAGCAACCCCTCTCTGGAGAAATTTATCTAAATGAGACTACTCCCTAAGCGAACAACAACAAAAATACACAGAAAGATACTTACTGTAGCAGTATATATGCTATTCTAGGTCAAGAAGCACTCTAAATGTTTAAGTTAATCGCATGTACATTGTTCAGCCACTTAAAATGACTAAGCAAATAAATAACTAGGTTAAAGAGTAGTTCCACTTACACAAAAAAGTATATAATATAGGAATATAAATGTGAAAATGTGGATATACCATCCTAAATCAAGTACATTTGTATCCTATCAAAGATGTCTGCAAGATTATTAACCAAAATAACACAAATTCTAAAAGCATTCTGTTGTAAGCATAGGTTCATACTGTAACAGAAGAATCAGCATTTCCTTCTGCAGTTTTCTATAATATTTAATGAACACAGAGAATGGATTATTTTATATGCTGCACTTAATTTATTCTTTATTTTACACTCTGAAGCAGAGATTCCCAAATACTTGCCTAAACCCCCTCCCCAGTGACTTAGTGGCAGAACAAGAAGCCAGTTGCTCCCACCTAGGGAGATCCCCTCTCCCCACCGTTCACTTGCCCATGCCACAATGACTTTCTGCCATCACTGCAATACAGGAAATGCACACTCTTTATCCTGCCACTTGATATTCCATTATGACAGGATTATCATTCAAAGTCATATTAAAATATCACCCAGTTAGTAGTTATTACATTAACTATCTTGACAGTATTACCCCAGTTCAATAGTTTAAGACAGTTTTAGCCTGAAATCTACAATGGATAAAATGGCACTTCTTGAAGCAACCTAAATGTCCATCGGTAGATGAATGGATAAAGAAGATGTGGTACATATACACAATGGAATACTACTCAGCCATAAGAAGTGGAAAAATCCAACCATTTGCAGCAACATGGATGGAGCTGGAGAGTATTATGCTCAGTGAAATAAGCCAAGCGGAGAAAGAGAAATACCAAATGATTTCACTCATCTGAGGAGTATAGGAACAAAGGAAAAACTGAAGGAACAAAACAGCAGCAGAATTACAGAACCCAAAAATGGACTAACAGGTACCAAAGGGAAAGGAACTGGGGAGGATGGGTGGGCAGGGAGGGATAAGGGGGGGGAAGAAGAAGGGGGGTATTAAGATTAGCATGCATGGGGGGGAGGGAGAAAGGGGAGGGTGGGCTGCACAACACAGAGAGGACAAGTAGTGACTCTACCACATTTTGCTAAGCTGATGGACAGTAACCGTAATGTGGTTGTTAGGGGGGACCTGATATAGGGGAGAGCATAGTAAACATAGTATTCTTCAGGTAAGTGTAGATTAAAAATTTAAAAAAAAAAAAGAAAGAAAGAAAGAAAAGGGGGATTACTCCTTAACAGGATAAAACTATTGGTAAATCAAAGATCAACGCATGCTTTAAATATCCTTAATGTTGATCACTTAAAGGGTGTCAGATGATCAGCTATGGAGGTACTCTTTTCTGATAATATTCCTTTCTCTTAATTAAAAAAAAAAAAAAAAGCAGTTACTGTGTGCTGACCTCCAATGAGTTCTGCACAGTGGTATAGAGGGCATGTCAAAGTGTGGGCAAAGGGTCTGTTTGTTTCTACGCAGAAGATCAAGGCCTAGCTTGGATACCCAGAAAATGAACTAAGATACGATATGAGGAGGAGCTTCCGGCATCAGCACTCTCTGGAGGACTCGTGCCGGGGGATGATCATCAAAAAGCCTCCACAGGGATCCGGACGATGCTGCGGTTGTGGCTGCATCCAGCCCACCGTCTCCTGGACTTGCCATAAGAAGGAGGAGGGAGATGTCTAGGCTGGCATGTGCATACAGTGAGACAACGAATTTGACTGGATCTGTACTGTTGGAACTCAACCAGGAGTTGGGAGGGGTGCAAGTTGTAGCACCCCAAAATCTCATGACTATAGACTATCTATGGTTAAAAGAACATATGGGATGTGAACAGATCCCAGAAATGGGCTGCTTTAATTTGTCTGATGGTTCAAGTACAGTTGGAAAATATCCATCATATCATAGATAAATTTTCACAAATGCCTAGGGTGCCTAAATGGTTTTCTTGGCTTCACTGGAGATGGCTGGTAATTATAGATTTGCTTTGTTTATGTCACCGTATTCCTATTATGTTAATATGTGTGTGCAAATTAGTTAGTAGTTTAAAACCTATACATACTTAAGGTACTATACAAGAAGATATGTCAAAGAAATAATCAATCCTCCCAAGTTTCCTTCATATGCTACATCTATAGCTTTTCTTCTTCCTTCCTAATTACAACCCTTAAATAGAATTCGTGCCTCATATCGAATTTACCGAGTATCATAATTCCTCCAGGTGGTAAAGATACCTCGAGACAAGTGCTGGGCATAGAAGCCACAGGGCATAAATCTGCAAAGAAGTAAAAAGCTAACCTTTGCAAACAATATGGCTTCTCTCTCACTTACCAACTTTACATTTCCCTGTATGGCCCCGGAAGATGACTGGTTAGCCAGAGACGGGTAAGATTCCTCAAGGGAGGAACAACCTAAGACAGGCACAGTCGCAGGGGGGCCATCAGGTGAGAATTTGGGGATCAACAGAGGTGAGGCTCAGAACCTCACCCCCCCTGCTTTGAGAGAAATCTTCTGCATCCGTGGATGTCTTGCTGCCCTTGTCTAGCCTGGATTAATACTTAGTCCATAGGCACACACCTGATCATCTGATCATCTACATTTGCCTTCTTACAGCACTAAACTATGTTTTCTACCTTTATCTTGCATCTACCTACCACTTCAGCATTTTATTAAAAATAAAAATAATAATAATAATAGGAGAAATGTGGGATCAACATATAAATCAAGTACAAAAATCAAACGAATATTCATATTTGACCTGATTGTTTATAGGTCATAATGCATGATCAAAACTGAAAGTTTCTGTGATGAATGCCCTTGTACTGTTCACCATGTAAGAATTTATTCACTATGTAAGAATTCGTTCACCATGTAAGAACTTGTTCGTTATGCTTCAGAAGATTGGAGACTGACGAGAATTAGGCTTGAGATGGATTAATGATTGTACATTGAGCGTTGACCCCCCTATACTGAATTTTATTGTTGTTAACAACCATTTGATCAATAAATATGAGAGATGCCCTCTCAAAAAAAAAATAATAATAATCAACAGAAAAAAAAAATGGCACTTCTTGAATTTGAGTTACAAGAAAATCTGTCAAACTACTAGGCAACTATTTAATACATTGAAAGAGAAACTGACTAAAAATTCCTCATGATCAAGCCTACCATTTGCAACAAAATGGATGGAGCTACAGGGTATTTTGCTCAGTGAAATAAGTCAGGCAGAGAAAGACAAGTACCAAATGATTTCCCTCATTTGTGGAGTATAACAATGAAGCAAAACTGAGGGAACAAAACAGCAGCAGACTCACAGAACCCAAGAAGAGACAAGCTGTTACCAAAGGGGAGGGGTGGGGAAGGGCGGGTGGGGAGGGAGGGAGAAGGGGATTGAGGGGGTCATGGGGAAGACAAGTGTAGCACCCAGAAGACAAGTAGGGACCCTGTGGCATCTTACCACACTAAGGGACAGTGACTGCAATGGGATATGGGGGGAACTTGGTAATACGGTGAATGTAGTAACCACAGTGTTTTTCATGTGAAACCTTCAGAAGAGTATATATCAATAATACCTTAATAAAAAAATGAAACAAATTCCTCATGATTAAAAATATCCACAGAGAAAACACTCAACAGAAGCTCAGATTGTTTTTTAAAAAGAGTTAATCTGAACAGCTCTTTGTATATTCAGAACAGTACAATTTTAGAAGTACGTGAAGGGAAAAAAGATTCCATTATTCATTCTCATTAAAATAATATCCTTACATACCTTTTCTGAGGATTTTTTTGAAGTAAACCACCAAGCAAACTAATCAAATCTGAAGAAGCCTTAGGAAGAGAAGAATCTACACATGCATTCATTGCCAAAAAGAGAAAGAAGTGGTAAGTAGATGAATATGCACCCTGCATCAACATTTAGAGTAACAGTATTTTAAGCACATCTGTTTTTAAGAAAACACTGAATCCGTTAATAATCACTACAAGCTCCATGGGGGTGGGGAGGCACAAAAACACACATTTTTTTCCTATACCACAAAAACCATAAATCTTAAAAACAGTTTTGACTAATCTCTAAACTTTTTCTTTATTGAATAACCCCAGTAAGGATCTTCTGTCTGACAAACTCATACCCTAATCTTCAACTATTATGCCTCATTTTCTGAGGCACTTTTCATTTGACCAACTTTGGCTTGTAATATATTACAATTAGAATATTTGCAGCCCCTTTTCTATAAAGACTTTCAAAAGGAAAATAATATCACAATATTATGATACTGTCCAATTCCATTACTCTCCAGGTGTTTCATCTTTTTTAATTAGACAGATACACACCATGGCCAGTCTATCAATCTCTGGTTAAGAGAGTTGGCCATGAAGAGCACGACCGAAGCCGTCACAAAGCGCCCAGAACCAGACAAAACGGACGCCGCTGCAGGGGTCACCGGACACGTTGGACAAAGACCCCGAGCCCGGACCACCAGTGGCACCTCCCCGGACCTCAGACACCTCCTTTTCAGATTCCTCCTCCCTGCCTAAAAGTCCTTAACTTAACCAAGAAAACCATAATATTTGTTAAAAAGAGAGACAGAAGCCATCATTACAGGGAATAAGGAATGACTGATTTCCACAAAAACTAAAACAAAGTTGGTGAAAGAAAAATGCGGCTTTTTGTCTTAAGAAATATGGACTATTCTCAAAGTATCAAGAACTTTGGCATTTTTTGTCACCTAGGATCGTTCCTGAAATATTGAAAATATTCCATATTACTATTCCTTCCATTAATTATTTCTGAAATTTTTCTTTTAAAAACATTATTTCTTGTAAACTCTTGTTTTCATTTATGTGTTAATATTCACTTTTTTGTGGTCTGCAACAAAGTATTTTATTTTTGTGACTTTTGTTTTCTTTCCTTAAAACTGTTAACAGTAAACTGTTATATTAATCTCACTTTGTATGATTGAAGTCACAACATTTTTAAAATACCAGAACAATATGTAATTTAAAAGACTTTAAAAACTTGTCAGGGTAGCATTCTGATTCATCAAGATAAGTACAGAGAAATACTTGATTTGTTCTTGGTCAAACACTAAATAGACATAACTACATAGGACAGGAGTACAAATAAGTAAATAGTACACACACACAAAAGGTTGAGTTTTTTAAATCTTCAGACCTCTTTTGACACAGGAGCACAAAATAATCTGTGTTTTTAAGTGAGGGAAACTATTAGTAGTACTTTTTTCCATTTCAGTGTCTACAACAAAATGGCAAAGGGAATGCTAACACTGCTAAAAATATCAATTTGAGACTATTTACAAAATATAATTTTATGAATTAATAAAAATAGGCTGTGGATAAAAGTGTACCTTTAGTCACAATAAAATGTAAATTAACCACATTTATGACTTAAAAATCCTACCTTTTGGAATAGGTGGCAAAGGATCTTCACAAAAAATCTTTTCAATTAATTCTGAAGAACTTTCTAAAAATGGAGGTTTTCCTGAAATCACATGAAAACTTGCAAAATTAAACAAGTGTGCTATCATCAGTAATTCTAAACCAGTCTCAATTACAGATAGGTGAGAATTATGCAATTTACAGGAAAATATATATATATATAATAACTAATTATTGAAATGCCTACTACATACCAGGCACATTGTCTATATATTTATTACATTTCTGAATCTGAATTCACCTATGAAACTCTACCATGATCCAAGGACACATCTGATTAATTCAATCACAGGGTGCCTTTATAAAAATGTCTACTAACAATCAGTTTTTAATTGTTAGGCACACTTCAACATTCCAGATGGTTATCATGCAAAACACCTAAATGTCAAGAAGTCCCTAGGAAGCTGCATATGCCTAGATGCCAAGCAACACAGCCAAAATCAGCATATATAAAAATTCAGAAACAGCTTTTTCATGTCTTACACATAAAATATCTGCAGACTACAGATTTACCCTGTCTTTGTATGTGTCCAGCTCTGATTTTACACTGACCCAAAAGGTAATCACCTGAAAACATTTCATAAAGCAGACAGCCCAAAGACCAGAGGTCACTGGCGACAGAAAAGTCAGCACCCCTCACAATTTCTGGAGCTGTGTATGTAAGAGAGCCTGAAGAGAAAGAACAAACAACTTCGTTAGGAATTTATATTGCTCCCAACACATACCTACCCATGAGAGACCTGGAGAGGTGAAAAAAATGGGAGGAAAACGTGCACATGAATTGGTCTTCATATGTATTTAATGTTTTTTAAAGTCTTTTAGTTTTAAGGTCCCATTTTACAAGGATATGTAAGACTATAATCAGACTTTGGAAATCCATCTGAGTTTGAGGTGTGGCCCATTATTTTTTTCAAATTAACAATTTAATTAGTCAAAGAAAAGAACTTTTTATTAAAATATTTTTATTAGGATAGGTTAAGTTAAACAACATTAACAACCCAAAATTCCACCAGCTTTATGTATTACAAACTATCCAGTACAGGTCAGCCAAGGGAATCTGATCCTCAGCCACTCAAAGACCGAGGCCAACAAAGGCTCCATCTCAATGTATGCTTCCTCAGTCACCAAGACAGGGGAAAGAATGTAGCAAATTGCACACTGGCTTTTAAAATTCCCACCTAGAAGTGATTTCGGTCACTTCTGCTCACACTTCGTTAGCTTTGGCAAGGGGAAGATGCACGGCAGGGATGGGAACCATGTATCCAGAAGAACAGTATTTAGTGAACAGCACTAAAGTGTGCCTCAGATACTCTATACACAATTTAGTATTACACAGAAATACCAAATTCTAGAGCTAGGAAGTCCCCTTGTTTACTGATGAGAGAAACTGGAGTCCAGAGAGGTACCCTATGCCCCCTAAGTCACAGCCGGACAGTTGCAGAGCACTCACCAAAACCCAGAGTCCTTGGTTCTTTCTCCACTCTACCGAAAAGCTTCCCATCTGCCAGTGAGAATGTTTTTTCCATGAAATGAGTAATCACCAATCACTTGGAAAACAAAATCCCACTGAGGAAACTTTCCAGCAAATTGTATCCCCAGGACCTATTAGAACCAAATCAGCAGCCTTACATGTCCCAACATTTTGAAGTTCTATGTTACACTTTTGCCCTGCTGTCACGTTTCATACACACACTCATTTGACAAACACTTACAGAGGGCCTATTTGCCTTCCCTTTGCCAAATACTGAGAAAGCAAAAATAAGACCCACAGGGTGCCCCACATTTAAAAGGGGATTAATACTTGTTAAATGGGAATGTCTGTCTTCACCAACTAGAAATGTAAGTTCAGTGAGTTCAGGGATATTTGCCTCTTTGTTCACATCCACATCCATATTCCCAGCACCTAGAAAATGCCTAAATTTTTGTTGAATAATAAATAAATGCACTAATGAACAAATGAATTATAAAGTCCTTATCTTCACAATAAGAAATGACAAACAAAAAATAATTACACATGTTAAATGTAATGACAGAGATATACAGATTATAAAAGTAATAGAAGAACCAACTATCAGGGGACAAAGCTTTGAGACTGCTGAATCCAGAAAAGAAGAGCAGAAGGGGAAGCACATTCCCAGAAAACAGAACAGCAAGGAAAAGGGTACAGCAGTGAGCAACCACTTGCCATGCACAGAAACCGCGAGGGCAGGAGGCACTGCTGCAGCATAAAGCAAGGGCAGGGGAATGCAGGCAATGAGAACTGTTAGTCTGGGCCTCAGACACCAAGACAGGATGAACCAGATGATGATTTTATCATACAAAATATCTGGGAGAGAAAGGGAGTGAGCTCGTTTGACCACAATGCATGCACACTGGATCCAAAGGGAAGAGAAAGGGAAAGAAGGTGGAACGGAAATATCCCAGATTGCCTTGCAGTGTAACAAAGGGTCTGCAAAGGTCGCCAGCAATCCCAAAAGCAACATCAGCTACATAGGTCTCTCAGGAGTGGGCCTGCCTCAGTATTCCCACCATGCTGGGGGTGGGGGAGGAAGAGGGACTTTGTCAGTTATGGTCCCTATTGTGGAAGAATCATGAAGCACATTCTCATAGCTGCCACAGGAACAGAGGGTACAGCAGGAAGCAAGACAAAACCCTCATCCTTTATGTTCTAATGAGAGGTCAGTGACATAGAGAACTAAGGATAAAGTACAGGATTTGTTAGAGGTTCCTCATGCCTTATACAGCATTAGATCCACACAGAAAATTTTGAGCCATGGACAGAGCCATCTCTATATCAGACTTCTCCCGGTCATTATTATTTGCAACACATTATTTGACTGGCAAAATAAAAGGTCAACATTATCTCCTAAACTTATGACTTAGGAGACCCACAACTTTAAGCTCTCCACATACCTTGGACTCTACTTTTCATGTTTCTCTTCAGTACATTTTCCCCACTATCACCTCCTTCTTCCTCTGCTGCCACCAAAGCAAAGAACTCTTCCAAATTTTCACCTTCCACTTTTGCAAAGCAAAAATTACTGAATTTCAATGTGCCAGGCCCCTCCAGGAGTATCTATGAAAATATAAAATGTGTCCAGAAACCAATTTCATTTGCATTTTCATCAGTAGCTCTTAGAATCTTACCAAAGAATTTTCAGCATTGGCTTTCTTGCTTCATCCCAACTCAGAAAATTAAATGCTTACTATTTTTTCAAAAAGAAGCTAAATAAAAATAAATCCAAAATTTTAACAGTAAGAAATATCCAATTGTCTGTTCTCAGATGGACACAATAAGCACATGATATAACCACAGAGGGAAACTGCAGGCTTTTGGGAAAGAGAAAGAACAATGTCTATGGAACTATCTGTGCTTGCCAATCGCAGTGACAGCCAGAAGGGGATTTGAACTCCCACCTGCCTGAGGTGCTGTTTATTCAGGGGGTCAAAACTAGAGTTTTTAAGTTAGAGATCTATATTTGAGTCCTAGGTCCACCAATTACTGGCAGAGTTTACTTAACCTTTCTAAATAAATCTCAGTCTCTTCACCTGTAAAATGGGAGAAGTAATACTTAACTCTTCATAATGTTGTAAAGATTAACTAAGGTTATGTATGCAAAGGGCTTTTAACAGTAACTAGCATTTGACAAGTGCTTAAGTTAGCTAATATAATTTGTGGTTAGACGTTATTCTGTCGATTGTTGAAACCATACCAGTGTTTAAAAATATTTCTGGGCAGTTGCAAAGGGTTAGGTGGATTTTTTTAAAGCCATTCAAAGTTTACCTTCAATTTCTAGTCACAAATACTAAGGCTGTCTGTTCATCTACACAGTGACTTTTAAACTTTTTTTGGTACCAGAATTCCCTGGAGGATTCAAGAAAAGGTACTAGTTAGTCCCTATCCCCAGTGTTTCTGATTCAAGAGGTCTGGGGCTGGGCCCAAGGACCTGGTGTTTCCAACTAGCACCAAGTGCTGCTGGTGAAGCAAAGCCACTCTGAGAACCACCAGGAGGAGCCAACAGGTCTCCTTCCAAGTCATGAATAGTCTAGGCCTTGAGGCTAGGAAGCCTTCGTCCTGACTACTGAACTCTGCAGCCACCAACAGTACCTAAACAAAAGGTGTGGGTATGCGCCAAAAAAACCTCATTTACAGAAGCAGACAGACATCCTGCTCAACACTGCCAACCCCTGTTCTACAGAAAAAGTTCAATCTGAAATCAGCCCGAGTTTCCCAGTTACAAATAGGTGACCAGACCTCATTAAGCAACTCCCACTCAGGGGCTGACACACCATGAGAGCCTCTGTGCCAAATCCCAGCCTCTATGCTTTTGTACAGGCCTGAGCAGCTAAGAGTGGTTTTCACATTTCTAATTGGTTAAAAATTTCTAATTGGTTGAAAAACATCAAAAAAAATAAAATTTCTTGACACGTGAAAATTGTATGAAATTGACATTTCGGTGTCTATAAAGTTTAATTGAAACAAAGCCACACTCCTGCATTTGTATATTGTCTTAGATGCTTTCAGAGCTATAACCATAGTTAAGTGGTTGTAGAAATATATGAATACTTCAAATAAGTACTTCTATATTATGTAGAGTTTTTATTGGATTTTTTAAAAGTTTATGTTCTCATACAAATAGCCTACAATAACAATGTTTAACAAGGAAATAGTCAACTTTTCATTTCCCTGTGTATACATTAACAAAAGGAGCAACTCAGACTAGTAACAAGTACAATCCCTAAGTATACGTACTTATTAATAAATACCATTAATTGAGAGCATACTACCTACCAGAAAGCTTCCTAGAAACTTAACCTAAATATAATATGTAATCCTCACAATCACCCTTAAAATTATATCCCCATCAAAGACAAAGAAACTAAGGGGGAGAAAGAGATAAAGAGTAACCACTCCAGGCTCACACAATTTCTAAATGTCAGTATTAATTGCAATTCCAAAGCTAAGCAGGTTTCCTGACTCTACTACACTGAAGCACATTTGGTTATGGATCATTAGTGTTACCAAAAAAGATGACACTTGATCACCTTATCAGGAATCATACATACAAAGCTAAGAATGCCATTAAGCTAAAATTATGGCTCATAATCAGGTACTATAATTTAAAAGCTTAGTTTTCTTTTATAGCTCTACTGAGTTCACCAATCACAATATATCTCAGCAGCAATAATAATTACCCAAAGAACTCTGAAAGGAGAAGAGACTTCACATTCTAAAAGCTACTTTAACAGGTAATTAAAATATGGTACTATATATTTCTTTTTATTTAATAAACATCAACTTAAAATTTCAAGGTATTCTGTATCAAAATTTTATCTAAAAATAAAAACACCTTTGAGAAAGCACTATAAATTATGACACAAGCAGTTAGGAAATCAAAACTTTCATGAGTTACCTTTTGAGGAGAAATGTCACAAAAGAGAATGCCAAGTTGATGAAGATGATGTAAACCAGTAATCAAGTCAATCCCAAATTCTCTCACAACATCTTCTGGGAGGCTTTCATCTTGAGCAATAACCATTTCCAAGGAACCACCTGCAAGTTGGTTAAAATCACCCACTTTAAGACTCTATAGCATCTTACTATGCTGATGGACAGTGACTGCAATGGGGCGTGGGAGTGGACTTGATAATATGAGTGAATGTAGTAACTACAGTGTTGTTCATGCGAAACCTTCACAAGATTGTATATCAATGGTAACTTAATAAAAAATAATAATAAATTAAAATATAGTTTAATTTTGGCACAAAAATAGAAAGATAAAAAAAATCACCCACTCATTACATAGTGCCTCTGGGAGTTTCCATGCTGGGAGATATTGAGCATTAAAAAATGATCAGATTAGTACACCTGGACAGTCTGGCAGGGGGAACACATGTGAATGAACACAGAGGTTCAAGCATCCTAACAAATCTGTGTCCACGTTCCAGAGTCAGCTTCCAGAGAATAACTGCTTAATCTGAAAAAAAGAGGCAATAAGTGAACAGGTGGGTTGAAGGGAGAATCACCCCAGTGCTGTGATTTCCCCACTCTACATCCCTCAGGAACTGAACTGCTGCCAAAACTAGTAATACTGGTAAATACTAACCCAAATTATGCATATTAATCACATTATGGAAAGCATAGCCACTTTTTCTCGTGCAAAGGTAGCTCACATTCTGCAAAGTACTGCATGGTAAAAAAGATGATGCCTTTCTTTAACAGACTATCACTCCTAGTGTGCACCAGTGATTAAATAAAAGGTCAAAGCAAATGCACGGAAATTCCACTTCCATACCCTTCCAAGTTCGCGATAACATCTCTACTGCCTAAATGCCAGAAACAAACATTTTTTTTAAAGGATCAAGATTGCAACAGGAGCCAAGTTCCAAGAAAGTTAAGTCTTAGCTAGCATGTGAAAGTTCAAATAGAATTACTGTGCTGAAGATGGTAGTTATTTGGAGTTTTGTTTATTTTGTTTTGGTGGGTGAAGAATCACTCTAAACATAGACATAAATTAGAGTTAGGCTCTGAAAATGGTCAGGGGTAAGAAATAACAGCTGAAGCAAAAAGTAATAGAGGGAAAATCCATTAATCACCTCAACAGTGTGTATATCATGAAAGTAATTAAATCACAGTTCCTTCCTATTGATTCAGAAAAATAAGATGCAAGTTATTATTCCAAATAAGCTCCTTCATGATACAATTTTATAAATTATAAGTGCCAAAAGGTAAGACTCATAAAGCTAGAATACCAATACATCTTGATATTTAATGATCTTTTATTATTACTCAATGTGTAAATACAAGTACACTAACAGTGCTGCTTACACATTTTTTCCCTGAAGACACTGAAACTAAAAGGCCAGATAGTATCTGTGTATTTCGTTGCCTTATTCCCTGTATATGGTCCTAGAAGGTTGTATCAAGGAAGAGCTGTAACATATGTCATCTCTAATTACCATTATAGGTGCTGGTATGTGTTGGGTCATCCATGTACTTTTCCACATTACTGAAGTCTTTATAAAGAACAAGTATCCTTTTCATAAACATAAAAAGTTTATAAACTAATTAGTTAACTAACAATTAGTTGACCCAAAGTACTTTGTTTTTACTGTATGGGAAAACTTGTTTGATGAACTAATCACTAAAAATACTTCTACATTTTTATGTAGGTGATGTAGTAATATTTTATACCAAAGTTAACCTCAAATTGAATTTTACATGTCTTCCTCTTACCAAACATCTTTGTTCTGCTCCCTTCCCTAAATTCCACTGAGCAAAGATGTTCAAGTTAACAGTCAATAGTATCAATTCTACTTGTATTTGCAAAAGAAAAAAAAAATAACAAAGCCTACATCTTATGTTTTCAAAACTACATTGACAGCACTTCTTATTCACTCTTACCTGTGCAGAGTTCCACTACTAGCCAGAGATGATTGCTGGTTTCATACCATTCATGAAAAGTTACAATATTCTTGTGTTTAATTTCATGGGTGAGACGGACCTAAAAGGACACAGCAATCACTCTAAAAAAACAGAGTTCTTAAAACCTTTGCATCTAGTAAGAAACACCTAAATACACAATTGAAGAAAAATGGAGGAGAAAAGACTGTTATTTTTTTTGTGGAATCCTATACAGACATTAAAAATGATGGTTATGAAGGCTGGTAACAGGGAAAAATGCTAATTTAATGTGTAATCTTAAAAAAACAAGCTTGTGCAATATAGTTTTATCCATTAGTATAACCACAACATTGCAAAAGAAATACTCATAGGTATATTCAGAAGGTATATATCAAAATAGCTGCTGTTTTAAGCAGAATTACTGAATTCTTTCTACTTTTTTTCTATTTTCTATATTGATTACACACCACTTTCAGTATCAAGAAAAAAGAAATAGTTTCAAAGGAAAAAAATTACTAAGCAAAAATAATCTAAAAGCTCAATAACACAATAATAAATTGTGTAAAAACTGACCAACTATTAGGCCAACATTAAAATGTTTATTTAATTTTATAACAACATGGAAAAATGATAGTGTTACAAAGTTAACTGAAAAAAGCAAACAAAATACCATTAAAATATATAATTTTTAATTCATATTAAAAAGGACTAAAGAAACAAAACCAAGACAGAACAGTGATTGCCTTCAGGTAATACAATGCTACTGTTTTTCTTCTATCCAGTTTTCTATAGTGTCCAAATTTCCTATAATGATGACATATTGCTTTTATATTACCGAAAAGAACTCTCAAATGTCTTTTTTAAAATATTCTTAGTGAATCTTAATATAAATTCACCTAGATTAATAAAAAAAGTCATTACAATGAACACACTGATCTTAAAATGTACATTTCCATTAGAACATTCTTATCCTTATGCACAAAAGCAAAAGTGAATTCAAAACTCAGTAATAAAGATGCAAAAGTGTGTCAGTTAAGATGTTCAAACGTACAGAATGACTGACACACCAACAGTGAGCCCTAAGGTAAACTATGGACTTCAGGTGATTATGCATGATGTGTCAAATATCCCTTCCCTTCCAGTTTGCTGTGAATCTAAAACTAGTCTAAAAAAATACTTCATAAAAAAGTCCTGGAGACGGTGACGATTGCACAGCAATATGAATATACTTAATATCACTGAACTGTACACTTAATAATGGTTAAGAAGGTAAACTTTATGTTATGTGTGTTTCACCACAATGAAAAAAAAAGTTGGAGAAAGGAAAACTAGGAGCCTGGCTGTGAAGTGGCACAGCCATCAAACCCCTGTCACTCTCAACTAACGCCCTTCCTTTGGAAAGTTACATAAAATTTCAAAGTAAATGATCTAATATAAAATATATTTTCCCTGACATGAAGAAACTAAAAACAAAACACTCAAGTTGCTAATTACTTGGTATGTTTATTAGTCATTACTAAGGATTGGTGACAGTAAACAGAAGGTCACCCATTCCAGATGGAAAAGAAAACATGGCATTTGCTACAGTGAGGTCAATGGTTTCTAAAGTTTACACACTACTTATTCTACCTGATCATAGATCTCTCCTTTCCTGGAGGGAGGGAAACATACTAGACTTACCCAATTGGTTATTTCAGGCCTTTTGCACTTATCAGTACAAAGAATAGCTACAAAATTGATTGTTCCCTTACGTCGCCCTTTATAGACAACAGTCTTGCTTCCTCTGCCAATCTCCTCATACAAAATGAAGTTTTCCATCACTAGATTGACTTCTCACATGCAACGGAATGACAGTCTAATAGCATCTCTAGCTCCTAGAAAGTAAACAAAAATTACATTTATAAATGCAGGCTAGTTGCACGATTAATTATGCTAGGATCTTTAATATGTAAATAAATCTAGTAATTCTATAAATTCAGAAAAGTCACCTGTGTTAAATACTATTGTGTTTTTTGTAGGGTGAAAACAACTAAAGGAAAATTTAAAAAACAATTCACAAACCAATAATCAACTTCTCATCAACAAGTTCTTAACAGAAATAAGGAAAATGACAGCTATTTACAACATATGTAACAAAACCAGGGAATCCATGAGATTTAGCCAATGTATCTTTTTTTAAGTATCATTATGCAGTCTTATCTTGGTTTCAAGTATTCAACACAATGGTTCAACAGTTACCCACATTATTTAATCCTCACTCCCACTAGAGCAGTTCTATGTCAACACAAGGAAAATGTTAAAGAATCATTGACTATATTCTCCATGCTGTACTACTATCCCATGACCAACTTATATTATGATTGAGAATTCTTGTGCCCCTTTATTCCTCTCACCCTACCCACCCACCCATTGCAACCCCTCCCCCATGGTAACCACCAGTCGCTTCTTCTCAGTGTATATGAGTCTACTGCACTTTTCAGCCAAGGTTTTTTTTTTTGTTTTTTTTTTTTGAGGAGAGCAAGTGAGAGGCTTTTATTTAGAGATAAAGTGAGAGAACAGAGCTCCTGGCTTAGGCCAGGAGGGGACAAGAGAGTCCCCTCAGCCAAAGTATTTTGATACCTTTCTTATTTTCTCTCTTACAGTGGCACACACATTGTGTCAACATCTATGCCTAAACTAAACTTCAGAAAAATTACAAGCAAATGAGACAATGTATATGAAAATACTTTATAAACAAATATAGCATGATACTATTTTCATCTACTCCAAAGAGATTGTAAGAATCAGTTCACATCCTACTCCAAGACAGGGTCAGCAATACTAGTTCCTGGGCCAAATCTAGCCTGTGGCCTGTTTTCACAAATAAAGTTTGAAACAGTCATACCCACTCATTTATATACTGTCTAAGGATGCTTTCAGGCTACAGTGGCAGCACTGAGTAATTGCGACAGAGACCCTGTGGCCTGCACACACTCTAAAATATTTACTCTCTGGCCCTTTACAGAAAAAATTTGCCAACTCCTGTTTTAAATGAAGAACTTTTTTTCATCAACCACTTGGTTGTCTAGAATATAAGCAAGTAAGAGTTCATTTTCTTGGCCAACAAAATCCCCTAATTTTCATGAGTGAATATGATTTGATGCAGTCCTTTATCAGACGAGATTTTATTTAGAATTGAAGTAAAATAGTGGATTCAATATCTAATGACATACTTAACAACAATATAATCAAAGTATTTACTCAACTAAAAATACATTTTATCTTTCAAATTGGCATCTCTTTGGGAGGATTATACATGGTAGATTATAGGAAACTTCCCAGACAGTATACGTGCAGTACGATATCCACTTTATAGACCACTTGTGTTTTTATTGGTAGCCAATAAGCCAGCCCCTATAGCAAAAACCCCTTGAAACAGAGAATGTAAAACAGCACTAAGTAAATGGGTAGATAGTTTCTTTTTGGCAGATGAAAACATCTGGAATTAAATAGTGCTTATGACTTTGTGAATACACTAAAAAATTAATGAATTGCACCTTTTAAAGGGGGGAATTTTATAGTATGTGAATTATACCTGAATTTTTTTTATTGAGATAATTGATATGAAACATTGTGTAAGTTTAAGGTATACAATGTGTTGATTTGACACATTTACATATTGTAATATTATCAAGAGAGCATTAACACCTCTATGTTAAATATTTTTGGCAAAAACATTTAAAATCTAATCCTTTAGCAACTGAAGTATATAATACATTATTGTTGACTATAATCACTATAATACACATTAGAGCTCCAGAACTTATTCATCTTTTGTTTTAGAACATATAAAAACAGGCAGAAGTATGCCCTGTCCTGGTATAGGGAACCAGTAATTTAAGAATCTAGGAATAATGCCACAGTGCCCGCAAGCTGGCCTCTGAGAGCCAGACGCCAACCCACACTAGAAAGGATATATAATATAAAGGATAGAGGCCTCAGAATCTGCACCTCAACCATAAGATAATTACTGCTGTCAACAATTCAGTTACGTGGGATTATATACCTGAAGAATTCCTAGGATTCAATAATGAAACCAACACAACAAGTAAAGAGGTAAGGGCGTTTTAATCTGTTTCCTGTACCCATCCTTAAGCTCTACTCCAGCATTTAGCTAGAGTCTTGTCCCAGCAAGCACAATCTGCCTCAGTCTATTTCATCTGACAGATCCAACTCAGATCAAGCCCAGGTATGCTCACCCTCTGAAACACTGTGATTTGTCCTGCTGTGAAGCCCAGTCTTGATCCTGACATTTCAGACTCATTCCCTTTTTCTTGCAGGACCACTTTAAAGTGTCAAGTGGGCAACACACAAGAAGATGACATTATCCCATTATAAATCTATATCATTAGACATGTAAGTGTGGGCTGAGTTAAAACTCGTATTACTTCATTCAACAGCCTTTGACAGGAACGTTTTAAATTTAATTCATGAAACATGTCAATAAATACTACGTTCTTTCCAAAAATAAGAATCTAGAATAATTCTATGATTCCATATTCCAATGAAATTAAAAATTACTGCAAAATGGCAAAAAATCTATAAAAATTTATAGGTAGTAATTACATTTAATTATTTGGATTATAAACTTGGTATCTAGATCAAATCAGAAGAAATAAGACTACTGAGAGATATTTTTTAATTCAAAGTAGAAAAGATCTGGAGAAATTTTAATTTAAATCAGAGGAAACCCAGAAAAGGCACAGATAGTATTTTCTTTAAATGAACAGTTTTTACTAAGTTCCTTTTATATTCCTCTCCTCTCTAAAACCCATTCATTAAAAAGAACCAATCTTGACTCCTAAGCTGCCAACATGTATCCTTACAGAAGTAATTATGTGGCAAGAGGTCAACAATACATAATATGTAATATAAGGAAAATAAGATAAAACTGTCAATGTTAAGGTGGAGAAGCTATGATGCATTAAAAAAAGAGACATTAATTAAACGTTTACAAGTTGGCTACATGGGAATACATCAGGATACCATGGTGAAGAAATTTTTTATGTAAGATAAATAGCTGATACCTTGAAAACAAGGTTTTAGATCACAAGACAAAAAATCAAATAAAACCTAAAATTTTGAATTTGACTCAGGCCATATTCGTTTCCTCAGTCTTTTACCAAGTAGCAGAATCTGTACACTCAGCCTGAAATTAACAAAATGCTTCAATTATAAAGTCTCTTAGATAAGAGGGGTTTATTACCTTCAGCACTTCCCCTCTCTGTTTCCTTGGAGTAAAATAAGAATTAGACCTGCTGATCTTCTAAGTTACTATTCAAGTTTTAAAATTTATGATTTTTAAATTCTTTTGACTCAGCCCAAGGACATTTCTCACCTTAGACTACCTAATACTCATTTTTTTTAATTTTGTAACCTCTTAAATTGTAAAATAAAACAGAAATACAGAAAACACCACTAAGTAAATGTACAGTTTAATGAATTATTCTAAGAGGGGCAGCCTTGTCTTCATCATCCAGGTCACAAATAGCACTTTGCTAGCCACCCCAGAAGCCCCTCTCTGAACCTACTGCAGTCCCAGCCCCTCCTACTCCCCAAAAGCAATCACTCTCCTGATTCTCATAGGCATTACTTGCTTGCCTTTCTTTATAATGTTCTCACCAAAGTGCACCCAGATACCACAGTTTATTCTTCCACACTTTCTAAAACTGTGGCACGTCTTTTAAGTCTCTTAATCTGCAGGTTCACCTAGGTAACATCTGAGAAGCCAGGAGTCAGAGCAAATCACACTAACGAGCAAAGGAGCCGTTGTAGTTACAGGAGGCAGGGCCTACATTCAAAAAAATTGAAATAGACCAGGTGTTCGGGTTGCACTGGCAACCACCAGCACCCGCCCCTCCATTACCACACCTCCAGATCATTAACTCTCCCGCGAGCAGCACCGACACCACCTGGAAACTCCCCAAACCAAGTTAGTCACACTCTGGAAGCGGGGCCCAGCAGCCGGTGGTCTGCCTTGTCCTCCAGATGCCCGCTCTGCTTTGCGAGCCACAGGCCAAGTCACCCTTTCACAGGGCGTAACAGGTGCTCCTTCGCGGCGCACTTTACAAGCCGAACTAACTACAGGCTTTGAGCTTGTCCTGCCCTCCCAAGGGCCGGCTGTCAGTCGCTACGTAAGACCCTCGCCACCCCGAGAGGCTCGTGGCCAGCGAGCCGGTGGCTTTCCCCGCCTCTCTACAACCACGGACATCGGTCCCCGCGGCCGGCTCGGAACCCGGCAGGCGTCGCCAGGGCTTTAAGACGTGAAACTCTTTATCTGGGGCGTCCGTAAAGCGCATCTCCCGAAATTTAGAGCCCCGGCGCCCCGAATCCCGTCTGCACCCAATTCCTCGATGAGGTGAGGGGTCCTATGTGCTCTGAACCAAAGCCCGAAAAGTTGTGTAAGGTTTTTAGTTTAACCCGAGCACAAAGCAGAGCCCAAAGAGAGAAGCAGACACGGAGGAGCTGCGGCGGGGACCGGCTCGGCTGACGGAGAGAGGGAGAGTGGGTGGGCGGTGCCCCTCAAGGCCTGCAGACCTCCTCCCCGCCTCCCCCCCAATGAAGAAGACACGAACCAAACTCGTGGCCACTAAAACCGCCATTCCAACTCACCAGATAGCAGGGGGTGGGGGAGAAGCCGCGAGGGCGCAGGACTGCTACCTCGACTGAGCGCGGCTCGACCCCCACTTCTTGGATGGGTCCACTGGCCAAAGCCAGGGGAGAAGCAATAGAGCAAGGGCGGAGGCGCGGACACACTGCAAGGCCCTGCGCGACAAGCCCCCCTCTGCGTTTGGATTCGCCCAGGCCGTCTCCAGGGTAGCACGCAGAACGCCGGAAGGAGTGAAGGGCTCTGAATGGCTGAGAAGTTTGGATTCCTATTGGCTGCGGCCCGGAAATAGGAGCCGTAACAGCGCAACAGTCTAGCTTAATTCGCCGGGGGAAGCAGGTCTTAGGCGATGGAGGGGATCTACTTGGCCAGTAGCCAGGGGCTCCTCCTAGTTTTCCATCCATCCTTTTTTTCTGAACTCCCTCTGTAGCTCTTGTAGACATGGCTACATAGCCTGAGAAACTAATGACTCAAAAGCCGGATCCTCGGGTTCTTCACCCCGTAGAAAAGAAATGGATATTTTCCTCCATGTGATAAACACGGACCCGATTCTCTGTTCTTGAGCTGATTTTTTGTGACTTACAAAGCTCCACGCCTTCAAATTCTAAGCACCCGACACAACACCAGCTTCCCTCCTCTTCCTTACATTCAAGTTAGCACAGGTTTTCTCAAACTTTAGCATCAGAATCACCTGGAGCCCTTGATTAAACATATTTCTGGGCCCCAACCACGCAACTTCTGATTTTGTAGGTCTGGGTGTCTTGCCAATGGGTTTCAGCCCCAGGAAGGTTCACGATGGATTCAGTGAGACGGAGGAATGACAATGGAACGTTCTTGGCGTGAAAGGATTTTATTACCCGGTTTTGTTCTCGCTGCCATAGATGGAGCACTAGAATTACATCTGTATCCAAGAGTCTACAGGTCTGTAATCCTCTTCCTCTCTGCTTCCGCCCAGAGCACTGGGCAGAGCTCTTTATATAGTGACTCAGTCAATAATAGCTTATTGCCTAGGGTGTGGAAGCAGTACCTTAGCAGTAGGCAGTTACATCATCAAGTAGTTTAGGTTCAGGTGAGGATCCTGGCCATAGAAACTTCCATTTTCCCCACACTTGAATACCACTTAGCAAGCCATACCTGCTAAGAAAGTTAAAATTTTGTGCACATGTGCATCCTTATGGTTAGAAAGTACCCGGGTTTGATTAGATTGTCAAAGATGCCAGGACCCAAAAATGCTTAAGAACTGCTGTGTCTTGTCTAAGGGTTTAAGCCCTAGGCAAGTTCACTGTGGATAGTGTGAGACTGAAAAGTGACAATGGAACATTCTTGGGGTGAAAGGGTTTATACCCAGCCTTATTCACACAGTGGTAGGTTGAGCACTAGAATCACATCTGCATTCAGCAGTCTGCAGGTCTGTCATCCTCCTTTGTCTCTGCCTCCACCCAGAACACTGGGCAGAGCTCTGTATACGGAGATTCAGTTAATAATAGCTTATTGCCTATAGGTGTGGAAGGAGTAGCCTAGCAGTAGGCCAAATTTATCATCAAGTAGTTTAGGGCCAGGTGAGGATGCTGGCCATAGAAACTTCGAATTTCCTCAAATACTGCTATAGACAATTTTAAGATAATGTAACAAACACAAGCTATAGAGAGAGCATGAATCTGGCTCAGAGACCACCACTAGTCCACAGGTTAAACTTTGACAGGTGTCTTGCCAATGGGTTTCAGCCCCAGGTAAGTTTGCTATGGATTTAATGTGAACAAGAAATTGACAGCAAAACGTTCTTTGGATTGAAAGGGTTTATTACCCGGCTTATTCTCCCAGTGGTAGGTTGAGCAATAGCGTTTCTGCCTTTGCCCAGAGCACTGGGCCAAGCTCTCCATATAGTGCAATAATAGCTTATTGTCTAAAGGTGTGGAAGTGGTAGCCTAGTAACAGGCCAGTTACACCACCAGGTGGTTAAGTTCAGTGAGGATCCTGGCCATAGGAACCCCAACTTCCCCACACTCCACCCCTGCAGGATTCTCACCTTACAATCTCCACACTTTCAATCTTCCACAGGGGTCCCTGTGCGAGAAAGCTCTCAGAGCACTGTAACCAGATTCCACAATAGCAACAGAGGAGGATAACAACAACTTAAAGATAATAACAACAAAAATTAAGACACAACAAGATTATGATGCAGGTAACAAAAATTATAATAATGCTCAAGTCAGAGGAGGTTCCTAATAACAAAAATTATAGTTATCCTCAAGTGAGAAGAAGTTCCCAATCCACAAAGATTTTAGGGTTGATAAGACATGTTTTAATGACACCGATATAGGCAGATCTTGTCCATCAGGTAGGATGCATGCAAGAGAGTGGTCCTGGGATAGGACTGTAACAGGAAGGGGGTCCCGTACAGGTCTAGTATACCATACCTTTACTCCTTTCCCTATGGGGGTTGCTGAAGGGTCTATATATAGTGCTACTGGAGGTGCATGCGCAGGACATAATGATACAACAAAACTCCAGTAAGATGCTTCTTCCTTCTGGCCCTTCAGGATATACTACTGTGACCTTTGGTGGCCACTCTGCTGTTATTCCAGGAATACACAGGAGGCAAGCTTCCAGACCTTGTCCCCAAGGCACCAGGAGAGCCAGCCATCATTGGTCCATGTGTTGAAAGTTCCAAGTCCATGTCCACTCAATGCAGTCTCCAGGGTTCAGTACAGGTGATGCTGGCAGCAAGATATTATTCTAGTGGCCAAACCTTGGATTCAGTGATTCTTCCTTGGTTTGTACTTGCAGTAATATAGGGGAGGCAGCCATATGTGTTAGCATATCTACAGGGCTCAGGCCTCCATTTCGGGGTCTCTCATTCAAACACCATACAACGGTTCATAATCGGACAAACCATCCCCCCAGACTATTTGTATCTGACTTTAGTGTGGATTTTAACTAGCCATTGTGCTTCTATCATGCCTGCTGCAGTAGGATTGTATGGCACATGAATCTTCCATTTGATTCTCAGCTATCGCACCCATGCTTACAGTGTATGTCCAGTAAAATGGGTGCCCTGATTACTCTCAGGTACCTGTGATCAGCCATAGGCTTCAAAGACATGCTCCAGGCCTATTTTGGTCATCTTCTGGTCTGGACAACTGGTAGGAAAAGCAACCAGAAGTCCAGTAGTTGTTTACACACAAGTAGGGCATACCAATATCCTTCTGACACAGGTAGAGTCCCAATAAGGTCTAGCTGCCACCTGACAAGGGGTATAGGCCCCTTAGCTATTGTTCAATGTTGCTGTGGAACTCGGTGTAAGTCTCTTGGGAGCATAAAACACACTCCTGCCGGGCTCTACTAACTTCTTCAAAGGTCAAAGGAAAGGCCCCACTGACGGGTTACAGCACACCTTGCCTTTTGCCCCGCATGCAACAAACGCTGATGTAACCATTGGGCTATATAAGAGGCAGACTTT